CGCCTGATTCCCGGGGGAGCCAGCTCCACTCCATGCCCCACCTCCAGAGCCTGTGGTGACCCCTCAGGCAGTGTCACGGAAGTGGACCAGTGCTGGCGGGGGCCTCCAGCCAGTCCAGTGACCTGGGGGCACAGGGGCTCACCGCAGCGCTCTCAAAGGGAACTAATGGGAACTGGGTCACTGGGCTGCCTGTTCTGGAGTCCCGAGTGCTGCCCCCACCCAGAGGCAGGCTGAGTGCCTTTCCAGTCTGCAACACTGTCTGCAGCCCACCAGCAAGCGGGAGACTCCGTCCACCCTGTGGGCAGCACTGCGTCCTGTCCCAGGCTCCAGCAGCAGGGAGGCCGGCTGTGACGAACCCTGCGTCCACCAGGAGGGCCAGGCATCCTTCATCCAGACGGTCTGTGCCCGGCTTCAGATTGAATAAAGGGTTTCTAAAACATGTGTTTAAACATGGGGCCTTCTGTTTCCCCGACGGACAGAACAGAGCCTTGGCCAGACTGGGGCCCCTGGCAGCCCAGGCTTTCTTCCTGAGGGCAGCAGCAAGAGGAGGAGACAGCACAAGTGGCCCTGCAGGCACCTGAATGGACAGGACAAGTCAGGGCTGGAGGCATAAGCCACCACCAGGTCCTGGAGCTCCGGGCAGGGCAGCGGGAAGGGGGTGTCATCAGGCCCCCGAGGGGCAGTCTTGCTTCTCCAGCTCTTCAGTTTCCCACCCGTGACGGGCCTGTTCTACCCCCTTTCTAGAGCGAACTATTAGCAGAAAATGTGTGCGTTTTCCTTCACTGCCAGGAGCCTTGGGGCCCTGTGGGTTGCTCACTGGACTACTAACAGCGAGGTCGGAAGTTCAAACACAGCAGCCACACCAAGGGAGAAAGAAGAGGCTGTCTGGTCCCATAAAGATGTGCAGTGTCGCTGCAAGCCCCAGGGAGCAGCTCTACTCTGCCAGCAGGGTGGCGGGTGAGAATGCAGAGCTAGGAACCGATCCATTGGCAGTGGTTGGGCTGCCCCCTCTGACAGGCTGCTGCCTTGCACTGGAGGGTCCCAGCTCCCAGTTCTGTCTCAGGGAATCCACGAAGGGGGCTTGAGAGCTGGCAGATGCTCCCAGCAGGATGAGCTGCAGAGCTCAGACCATGGTCAGCACCAGATGGCCAGGCGGCCAGCGAGGGCCGGTAACAGGCAGATGAAATCAAACGGCACAGATAAGCTGAGCCGAACATGAATCGTTGAACCCAAGGAGGGTGTGTGCAGAAGTAGTGAGACGTGGCCTGGCCGTGGGGCCAGACAGAGGAGACGGGCAATCAAGAGGCGCCAGGGGAAGAAGAGAGCAGAGGCAGGATGGTGTGGAGTGGGCGGGCGTGCTCCCGGGCTTGAGCAAACTAAGGGTGCAGCCGTGGGGTTCAGAAACTCCAAGGAGCAGGAGGGCAGGAGTACCACAGGAACAGAGGCCGAGCCGAGAGGACAACCATCCAGCATCAGGGGACACAGCAGAGGTGAAAATGTTGGGGGGCCTCATAACAACAGTTATGGTTTTGACGCAACGTCAGGAGCGACCAGTGGTTTTGTCACTGTTGCGTCCCTGCCCATGGCCACCTTGCAGGGACGCAGCAGTGACAAAAACCAAGAGCGCCCTTCCACCCCCCACCCTTCAAAGCGACCCAAGAAGGACCTCTCCCCTGGCTCCTGGGCGAAGACGGGGCCGGTGAGGTGGTGCAGGTGACCTCTGGAAGGGAGCAGACAGAGTAGCTCTGCCCTTAAACGACTGACCCTGCTCTGGGAGTCTGCTGTGTGACGGCTGGCACCCATGCAGGGTACCCACAGTCCGTAAGGACATTTTCAGCACCCCAAGAAGAAAATGCAGGCTCATGGCCAGTCCCTCGCCATGTGGCCCTCCCGTCCTGGCAAACGAACCCCTACTGCACTTTCTGCTCTGGGCCTTTTCAGCACTGCTAGGAAGGCCCCGCTTCACACGTGCTCTAGGACACTGCAACCAAACGAACCTGGGTGCTGCAGACAAGCTCCCCCGGCAATACACCTGTCCTGGGCACCTTCAGAACACGGTCCCCCCAAAGCAGTGGCTTCGGAAGCGACCTGTTGGACCGGTGAGATTCCAGGGAGAGAGGCCAGCTCAGGGGTCACACAAAGGAGTCCTCTCCATAAACTGCCTGGAAGGATGCAGGTCAGACCCGGGGGCTTGTTAGGAAGGAGTTTTAAGACACGAAAAACCACCCTGGTGAGAAAAACCACCCAGGGACTGCTCCTCTCCCCCGACCATGCAGTCCGAGGGCAGCGCAGCTCCCCTGTGAGCATCTCACCCCACCCTCCTGCAGCCCTGCTCGGCCCTGCTCCTCAACTCAGAGCCTCGCAAAGGAGGGGAGGGGAGCCCCTGGCAGGCCCACCCTGCTGCTCCGATGTGGTGTCAGTCCAGGGCTTAGAGGTCAGGAGCAAGGACAACTAGATGGCTGGCAGGTCGCGGTCTGATCTTCTTGTCTCACAAACGTTTCTATGGCTTTGTGGCACTACGCTCTGCTTTACCCTCTCAGTGGAGTCATACTTTTGATCCTTATCAAGACACAGAGGGAAAGTCAATAATGGAGATAGCATGAACCCTAAGACACATGTGAGGGCTTCAAACAGCTCACAGGACAGCAGACCGAAAGCTGACAGATCCCCACCCCTTTTGCGAAGTCCCCTCATAATCAAACCACAAGAAGGCAGGGGCACGGCAGAGGTGACAATGTGGGGGCTGCGTAACACAGCAGACGGCATCTGAGTAACCCAAGCCCTCAGTGGCCACCCGAGTAAGGCACCTGAACAGCCTGCTCCACGCCCAGGTGTGATCGCGGTGTGAAGCAGGAACGGCAGCAGCTGACAGGGTTTATGAAATAAGGAGACCAAAGTCAGGGACAACAGTAAGGCCAAGGCCGAGAGGGAACACAGACATCAGCTGCTGTCCGATTCTCAGGCTCCAAGCCAAGCAATACAGTAGCTGGATCTAGACCATGCCGTTAGAGCTCCGACAGGAAGGCATCTAAAAGGCTTCCTCAGCTAAGAAGCCAAAGAAAAGATGACGCACCCCTGGGTAGTGCTCCGGCTGGAAACAAGTTACAAAGAACAGAGACCAGATTGGGAAAATGGAAAATAAACAGCAAGATTACAGTCCTATCGAGCACTACATTAAATGTAAACGAAATAAATACTCCAGTGAAGCGCAGAAACTGCCAGGCTGGAGCCTGTTAGCAGGAAGCTCTCACTGCGTGCACTGCCCATGAACCACAAGTGCACGGCAAGGTGAGGACGAGAGGGACGGGGAACGCTCCGCTGCTCAAACACGAATCTTGAGAGACCGTGAGAGTTTTTTAGCACCAAATTAGACTTGAGGTAAAAAAGCATTACTAAGAATAGAAAGTGGCATTTCATGCTAAGAGTCAATTAACAAAGGAGAAGCCATCCTGCATGTGTGTGCCCAGCGGACACAGCTTCAACACGCAGAACAAAGCCATGCAACTGAGAAAGCAGCGGCACTTTTCAACCTAGCGGCACGGACAGAAGGGCACACGCAAGCCCAGGGGCTCGCAGTCTTCCGCGCGTGCTGTCCCGGGCCGACCACAACAGTTATGGCAGAAATCACGAAGGACGCCGTGTTTGACAAATTAAGAAACACACTTCTGAAAACCCATGTGTTTTTAAAAAATTTAGAAGGGAAATTAGAATTTACCTGAATAATAATGAAAACATAAGAGTAAAATGTGTAAAGGGCAAGTGGATCTCTACAGTTTATCAGAAAGAAGATGTATCAATGGTCTAAGCCAGGGCTCAGAAAACTAGGGCCCAGGGGCCCCACGTGGACGTCGCTTCACTGGCCACCCAACTCTCAGCGGCTGGCCCTACAACAGCAGGGTGGGTTGTCCAAAGCACTACCTGCCCTTTCCAGAAAAACAGTGCCAACCCTGACCTAACCTTTCACCACAGTATGCTACAGGAAAAGCAGATGAAACCCAAAGAAAATAGAAGCAGAATAAAAAGAGAAATCAACGAAATAGAAAAAGGACAAGGGGAAGGATCAATGAAACAAAATCTTCTTTTTAAGAAGATTAATAAAACTGACGATTAGGGAGGCTAATCAAGGTGTGTCTAAGTGTGTGTGAGTAAGTGGGTGTGAGTGTGGTGTGCATTTTTGAGAGTGGTGTGGGTGTGTGGGTGTATGCATGTGTGCAGTGAGGCCAGACTGCCGTCACAAACAGGACAAAGACAAGAAAAACTGCTGACCCCTCAAAACTTAAAAGGGTAACAAGAAAACATGAGTGACTTCATGCCAGTAAGCGTAAAGACGTGAACAAGCTCACTGAGTGAAATCTAAAACTAGAAATGGAAACGGCCCTAGTTCCAGAATGCAAACGTGTTGTCACTGCTGGTGAGCACTCCCACGTGGCGGAGGAAGTCACGGGATCACACCAAAGCCTGGCAGGGCCACAGGAAATGCTACTCAGCTCTCGTTCCGGACACCCCAGTAACCATGACCCCAAGACTGCGGTCAGAAGGGTCTAAGTTAGCAAAGAGAAAGGCCACAAAGACAAAGAAGACCCCTTGACCAGGAGTACACGCCAAGAGTGCCAAGTGGACCTGACCCTAACAGCGACAGGAACAGGTGTGGGGAGAAGGCCCAAGGCCAGTCCCACCTGGCACAGAAAAGACCTCTTCAAAGACTCAGCAGGCCAGCCTCGGACAGAGACCACCCAGGACACAGCCTTGTCTGAGGACCTATATGCAGAGACATGAGCCACTGAGCCCATGCTCAGCTACAGTAAGCAAAACCACCTCGTAGTGTAGTGTTTACCAGGAGCCCAGGGAGCAGGGTGGACAAGGCCCTTCTCAAAGGCACAAGGGTGGCCAGCGAGCACGATGGAACATGCTAGAAAGATGAGGTAAAGTCCCTGGGTAACTGGTGCACAGCCTCTAGAAAGAGGGGTGCTGTGCTGTGCACAGTTCTCCCAGGTAATGGATACGCACCTCTTCCCACAAATGAAGGAATTTTAGGGGATAGGGAGCAGACACAAACGCCAGAGTGCAGAAAGCTGCCTAATCCATTGATTTATTAATGAAAGCAGTTGAGTGGCCAAACTTCACTCAAGATACACACTGACTTCAGCTTGTCAAAGGGGCGCAGAGTGACCACAACTCAAGAAGAGGTTTAGAAACTAGGAATAAACAAACCGGGGAAAAAAATCAATAAAGTGCAAGTTCAGAGGCAACACCAGAGAGACTCCCCTGAGAGAGCACCCGTGTAAAAAGCACTGATCTGCTGCCGCCACCACTGAGTCAGCAGTGAGCCGGTACTGACTGTGAGGGCCCGGCTGCATCGCTGTGCTGACCCTGCGGTCCAAGCCTCAGGTCAGCCACCAACTGAGGAGGAGTTTGCCCTTGGAAGCCCAGGCCTCCTCGTGAACTGCCTGCTCCATGAGACTTGGAAACACTGAGGAGTGGGCTGCACAGTGTTACAAGGGTGCTATGAGCCAGGACCGACGTGAGGGCACTGGGCTGGGGGTGCTTCAATTCACCCCCACCCCCACCTCACCCCGAGTGTCACTCTAATTCATCAAAGAAGAACGGGCCTTTGGAATGAAAGTTACAAACAGATGTGCAGTGATAGTTTGTGTCGTGGGATGGATGGATGGATGGATGGATGGATGGGTGGATGGATGGATGGATGGATAGATGGATGAAAGCAGTGCTATCTATCTACTGTGGGAGCTCTGGTGGCAGAGAGGTGACATGGTGCATGGGCTGCTAACCCAGGCGTTGGCAACCTTTTGAGACGGAACACACAATTCTGTCTTTCACAACAATTTATCCCCAGGGTCCACAGTTTGAAACCACCAGCCACTCCATGGGGGAAAGATGAGGCTCTCTACTCCCGTGAAGGGTCATAGTGTCAGAAACTCAGAGGCAGCTCCACCCCAGTCTACAGCCCTGACTCAGATCTGGCCGGATGGCAGCGAGCTTACATCACCTGTGATACTGTGCATTCATTCACTCTGCTTCTCGGAGGACTCCCTGGTAGGTGCCAACAGCTCTGTGAGCACACCCTGCTGCTAATGCAAAGGGGTGTGGTCAAGACCAACCAGGGGTTCCTGAGCAGAAAGGAGCGGCGGTCTACCTGCAAAGATCAACCCCCGACAAAGCCCCAGGGCCGGGTTCGACACGGCTGCCTGGAGTCGGGACTGACTTGGAGCACTGACACACCCAAGCCCACTGCCTGGGGTCAGTCCCGACCCCCTGTCCCAGTGACAGGGGACAGAGAAGAACCGTCCCTCTGGGTCTGGGCAGACACAGGTGGCCTCATCGCTCTCCCACAGGCCTTTCTGTTAGCAACCAGTGCTTAACCACTGCGTCACTAGGGCTCTGGGTACTTAGCACACACACAAAAGGGAGGGGGGATGTTAATCACAACCCATGCTAAACCCACAACAGGAAAAATTACAGCATGTTCTTACCACTTTCACAACACAGGGGGCATCCGTGCTGACAGACTTTGAAGAATTCTTATCAGCTGTGTAAAAAACAAAATACACAGCATCAGAACAGGAAGCAGCACCTATTAACATTCACCCTTGAAAGAGTTCCCAATGCAAACCCTTACAGTACACCCATCGGTTTACGATTTCCCTTCGTGGCATCAAGACTGGAGGGAGCTGGGCTGCATCTGACAGTGAGCCGCTCAGGCCTCAAGTAAGCAAAGGAGACTCTGAGGGGAGCAGAGGGGAGCGGAGGGGAGGCTTGCTCACTGAAACTCTGAGTGGCTAGGCTCTGCCACACACACCCCTGCTCCCAAGCAGCAGGGGCCACACAATTTCTGAAAAGCAAGGAAGTCTTTTAAAAAGGAATTTATGGAACGGGGTGGTGGGGGGTAGGAAAGAGCAAGCAAGCCCCAAAGGCACTACCTACAACTAAACAGTCTCGTGGGCTCTCCTCCCACCACGTGACCCTGTACTACAGGTCAGCACGGAAGTGGCAGGGGCGCTCACCGGGCTGTGTCCTCAAAGAGAGGCAGACTGACCCGGCCCTCTCCATCCACTGGCCCTGACCAAAGGCACCAGTTGGGGGGGAAGCTCCAGCTGTGGGAGCAGGATTCTGAATTTCCACTTGGAACGTCTTCACTTCTGTAAACCAGTGGTTCTCAACCTTCCTACTGCCACGACCCTTTAATACAGTTCCTCATGTTGTGGTGACCCCCAACCATAAAATTATTTTCATTGCTACTTCAGAACTGTAATTTTGCTACTGTAATGAATCGGGAAACCCCTGTGAAAGGGCCATCTGGCCCCCAAAGGGGTCGCGACCCGCAAGTTGAGAACCGCTGCTAAACCAATGCAGAGCTGCCCTGGACCACAGTCTCCATGTCCCTGACGCAGGGCTCACAGAGGCCTTCCATGCCAGGTTCCGAGGGAACGGGGTACACAGAAGTCCTGCCCTCTGGAAGTCACTTCCCATGGGGACCAAGGACAGGCACAGGAACACAGGGAGAATGCTGGCAGGGCAGTGCTGCCGAGGAAAGATGAAGCCAGAAAAGACGGTGGGCAGCACCGGGAGAGCACAGACCACTGGCAGTGTCCTGGGAGCAACGGTCTGAAGGCCACATGTAAGGACAGGGCACTCCTGGGCAGCCAGGCCTACAGCTGAGCAGAGGACACGTGGACAGGCTCTGGAAAGCACGAGGGTGAGCTAGCAGAAGGCAGCCAGAGAAAGAAGAGCTGGACATGCCCATGAGGGATGGACTGACGGGGGCATGCCTACCAGAGAAGGGCTAACAGGCCACACCCACAAGGAGGGGTAGGCAGGCATGCCCACAGGACACCCATGGGAGAAAGACTGATGGACATGCCCATTGGGAAGGGTTGGAGGATGGTGAGGAGGCACAAAGGACCCTGACCATTGGACAGGCTGGCCTCGGTCAGAGTTGGACAAATGCATGCAGGCGCCCTGAGCCTGGGGCAGCCAAGCCCAGAAGGCCAGAGGACCGGGCACCAAGGGTCCAATAGGGGCCTGCTAAAACCCCTCAGCCCAAAAGGGCAGCAGGCACAGTGGGTGGAGTGGTAAGGTCTGGCTGCACCCCAGGGCCCTAAAGCAGCATTTCCTGCTCAGAATATGAAACAAAAGCAGTGACCTGAATCCCTCTGACCACCCTTCATGAGGGGCGGGGCTGTGGGGGGTGGAGAAGTGAGACTTCAGGAGCCCCTGGAGCTGCCAACCCTCCTTTCAGTGGATGGGCTAAACAGCTAGAGTGCTGCTCTGCGGGCGGGCCGAAAGGGTGGTTGACCCCCGCCCCCCACCAAGACACTGCAGAGGCCTGGCAACCAGCGCCCAGGGCTCCTCACTGCTCTGCACACAGGACAGAAGCTTCACGGCAGAGCCACTCCCAGAGCCCTGCTGACACAGTGCACTAGGGCTAGGCTGCCAATCTTAAGCCAGCAGTTCAAGCCCACCAGCCACCACTTAGGTGAGGCTGTCTGCTGCCTCCAAAACCCACCCCATAGGGTCCCTGAGTTGGATTCGATTCCATAGCCAGAGCTTTGGTTGTGGTGTCTGGGACTTTCTCTTTCTCCAAGGAGCTCTGGTGGTACTGTGGGGGAAGCATCCAGACGCTAACCCAAAGGTCAGCAGTTCAAACCAGCAGCAGGTCTGTGGGAGGCAGATGAGATTGTCTGCTCAGGCCCCTCCAGGGGTCGCCGTGGGAGGGAACCGCCTAGCAACCTGGTTTCAGGCTGTGGGGGCATCTGCTTCTGCCAAGGCCGTGGCCCTGGAGACTCACTCACCGAGATAGATGCAGCCAAAGCCGCCCTGGCCGACAGGCAGCCCCAGCTTCCACTGCTTCTTGGCCATGTCGGTGACCACCTCGCCTGCGGGGAACCGCTCTGCCAGCCGTCTCTTGGTTGGGCCTGCTTTCCTAGCTGCTGCTGCTGCTTTCACGCGCGGCATCCTGGCTGTCGCACAAAACAAAGCCACAGTCATAAGACACCTGTCCCTGCAGCCTGGCCTCCCCGCACGGCCTGGAGAACGGGTACCCCGACGCACATGCAGGCATTCGGCTGCACAGCGATCTGAGCACCTCTAACTGTGGTGGTTGTTAGCTGTGCCGCACAGTGGGTTCCGACCCAACAGGACCCCTGTACAACAGAACTAAGCCCCTCCCAGTCCAGCGCCATCTTCCCAAGTGCTTGTCTGTTCAAGCCCACCTTGCAGCCGCTGCTGGCTGCCCGTGGAGGGTGGTGAAGAAGGGGGTCTGTGTGGTCACCCTTAAGGACAGGTGTGGTTTTCCATCCTGTGGGCCCAGCACCAGCTCTGACCCACCACGAGCACCCCTCACAGTCAGGGGCTAAGGCCAGAGTACACACACGAGCCCCCCCAGAGGGAGAGGAAACTGGGGCACAGTGCTGGCTGCTCCCCAAGGGCTGCAGTGCCATCCCAGTCTACAGAGGGGAAATGAAGGCACAGGCATGCTCAGCAAGCCACAGAACCCCCTCCATGCCAGCCGGGATGCCACAGCCACAAACCAGACTCCAGGGAAGAAAAAGTGACTGATAGCTAGACGTTTGAGGGGCTTCACACGGCTCATGGAAAAGACCCGACTCCCAGCAACCCTAGAGGGCAGAGCAGGCCTGCCTGGTGGGTTACGAAGCCGTCAGTCTTTACAGGAGCCAACGGCCTCATGTCTCTCCTGTGAGCTCACGAATAGCGGCCCACCATGTGAGCCAGGGAACCGCCAGTGGGCAGCACAGGAGAGAGGCCACCTATGAAGACTCCCCGGTCCCTCAAGGCCACGACACACAGCTCAGCAAGGGCAGACCAATCGAGGACAGGGCTCAGGCAGAGTAGGGCCGGGCACACGGAGAAGGGGGTACTAGATATCCAAGATGGGTTTGAATCCGAATTTTTAACACTACATCAGGTGAAAGAAGAACTAAAATTAAGTAACAGTTTGATAAAGACTAAATAAGAAGGGGGAAAAACAATTTAAAAATAAGACTTAAGGGGAAAAAGCTGAATAAACAAAGATTTAAAGAAAAGAAAGCTTAATAAACAACAACAGAAAAAAAGACTTAAAAGAAAAGCTTTTTAAAAACCAAAAGCAAAAATCGCGTGAAAATCGTTTCCAGAGGAAACAGCACATTTGGAAGGTGGACAGGAAAGGTGGGGCGTGCAGGGCACGTCACCAAGAGGACAAAGCGACAGGGTGGGCGGTCACTCAGGAGCCCTCTCCTGAGCTTTACAGACCCGGGGCATTGCAAACTGAAGGAAGGCATCACCCCAGAGGGGGGGGCAATCCCCTGACCTGGGCAGACGACAGGCTCTCAGAGAGCCTGGAAGAAGGGCACACAGGGCAGAAAAGTCTCAGGAGGAGAGCAGGGAGTGGCCAAGGGACAAGCACAGCCGAGATGTGACACCCCACCAGCTCCGTCTCAAGCACAAAGACTGCAACTGTGATCAACACGGAAGAGGGGAGACGGCTCGGAAGGCCGGGAGATGGTCGGCCTCAGAAGTCAGACTCACAGCAGTTTCCGCACGCCACACCACAACCAAACTCACCGCCACCGAATCCATGCCGAGTCAAGGTGCCCCTATGGGGAAGGGTAGAACTGCCCCTGTGGGTGGCTAAGAGGAACACTTTACAGAAGCAGAAAGCCTTTCTCCCTCGGAGCGGCTGACCAACCCGTAACCACTACACGCCACCAGGGCTGCAGGTGATAAGAAGAAACGGGAACCACATGGAAATTTGAGTCAGGTGTGTAGGCTTCCTGCCCTTGGTGGACCGTGGCACTAGGGAGCCCAGGCCGGAGCACAGGGAACCCCTGAAGGAGAGATGATCAGGCACAAGGGCTGCTTTGGCCCATCACCGTTGGCAGCCCCAGATGAATGACTGCACTCCTCCACAGAGCGCTGCTGAAATGCTGGCGGGTCAAGCCCCCCAGCCACGTGCAGAGGAAGGCCTGGAGATCCCCTTCCTGAAGGAAGCCCACCAGGAAAACCTTCGGTCAGTCCAACAGGCAGAATCCAGGAGAGCTGCCTAACACAACACATGGCCAAACACCCCCCACTGCCATTGAGCCACACTGACTGATGGTGATCCTGTAGGACAGGGCAGAGCTGGCCCTGTGGTTCTCCAGGTGGGTAACACCGTCTCGGGCAAAGACAGCTTCCCTTTGTCCTTGCAGTGACCCTACCCTGCTGTGCCACCAGGGTCCTTCAGAACACAGCACTGCCCGTGAAATCACGGTACCAGAAAAACAAACGCCTGTCCACGTCCAGGCTCTGGGGGAGCAGACCACGTGAGGGCAGTGCTGGCAGCTTCACCTAGCTCCCAGCCACACTCACAGTGCCCTACAGACTGCAGTGTCACCCCAGTCTGCTGCTGCCGCCATGAGATACCATCCAGTGGCAACCCCTAGCTACCCCACGCATGACAGAGCCAAACACTGCCTGCGGGTGCGGCACCATCCTCACATGGAAGTTGTGTCTGAGCCAGGCCATTGTGGCGGCCACTGCATCCATCCATCTGGTCGAGGGCCTCTTTCTTCGCTGCCCCTCCACATTACCAAGCATGATGTCCATCTCCAGGGAAAGACGGCTCGGTCACAGTCCATGACTGGTCCAAGGTGATAAAGCCAGGAAGACACAGCCTCAATCAAACCAGCCAGTCAAATGCCAGGGGTGTAGATTGGGCAGGACACAGGAGGGGCTTCAAAAAACTTGAGGAAAAATTACATTAACTTTTAATTCTGTTTCTCCATGTGCTTTTTGAAGCCCCAACATATAATCCCATTTCTTCCACAAACAGGGGGAGAAAACAGAATTGGAAAAGACAACAGCAGCAGGTTGTGTCTAAAACTTAGACTGCACTGCTTGGCACACAAGTGCAAGCTGAGCAAGGGTGTGCTCGAGGCGGTGCCCGTGAAGCCGGAGGTGGGCAGGCAGACGGCCTAGCTCCTGGCCCATCCAGCAGTGGCACAGGCCCTGGTAATTCATTCTGCCTGGCTCTCCTTGATAAGGGCAATGTTGTTCACATTTTTAAACGTGAAAAAGCCACTGCTCCTCTAGTTAACCCCATCCAGGGACCCGCAGCAGCAATCTTGGTGCACTCTGAGCTCCCAAATCACACACCAACTGCCTGCCCACAGAAAGCCCCAGGGATGGAGGGCCGCTGTGACCAGGCCAGAGTCACAGTGGGCACCCACTAAACCCTCGGGGTGCAGGGACCTACCTGGTCTGTCTACAGGGCGCCCCACAGGCCGTTGGTGGGGTACCCGTCACTGGGGCGCTAGTGGCATGCTTATTCTGTCATCCCTCGGGTATCATGGGGTGTAAATGGGGCACTGGAACACACACCCCACACACACAATCCTGGAACTGCAGATGGCACTCCTGTTGGTCCTCGGACCCCTGATCTGGCCGATGCTGGTGAGAGGGGCACCAACTCTGCTGGGAGGGCTGCCTGTCCCAATAGTCCTCCTTTCCATCATCACAACACAGGGCTCTACTGTGTTCGAGATTATAAATATTTCTGCCCAATCCAAGGAAGCCACGTACTGCAGATGCTCACATCACGTTGAGCAGGCTTCTGTGCACACAGAAAAGAAAGACTCGAGCAGGTGACCTGGTGTTTGAAACTGTCCTGTGCCGGGGTTCACGTCTCCTTGGCCCATCTGCCCCAAAGGAACAGGAAGGAGTACCCAACCACCACCCAGCACTTGGACAGAGAGGCCACGGGGCACGTGCGCTTATTTAAATGTCCCCACAATGTGCCACTGAGCCTGGGGTCCAGAACTGTGGAGAGAGTGCTCAAGATTAAATGCACACGCAACACAGTCCACAAAGACACCGTTCTAGGTCCTACTTTGGGACCTCAAGGTCTATGGGTGGCCAGCTAAGGCACAACTATCGGTCTCTGCCTGGCCAGAGGAAAGAAGAATGAAGAAAATCTAATAAAACAGTGGGCAAGCAGACCATGCAGGCATCAGCTGCGGTAGTTACAGTCTGCTGTCAGCTTGAGACAGCAGTGAAGGGGTGAAGGGGTGGAGTTTAGCCTCAATCAGGTCGCAGCTTGATAACCTCATTTGGAGGTGCTAAGGAGATAACTAGCTTGCTGGAAGCAGGACACACACTCTACCTTCGAGACATTCCTGTTGACAAGCCACATGGGGGCTGTACACTGATGGAGCCACGTAGAGACCCATGCCAGTGCTGAAATGCTTCCACCACCGCTGGATCCATAACTTTCTACCCACCGGCCTGCAGTCCTCCTGCACGCAACACCATTGCATGTGTTGTATGAGTCTGAAGAGGAATTCATAAGCTGGTATCGGACATATGGGCTAATATTGGACTGACAGACCTGAAGTGAACTGGGCTGGGATGTTTTCCTTAATGTTCAATTGCTCTTTTATATAAAGCTTTCATATACACGAGTGTCTATGGATTTGTTTCTCTAGCCATCTCGGACTAACACAGCAGCCTCCACAACCCTGAGGCCAGAACTAGATGGTGCCCAGCCACCACTGCCAACTGTTCTGAAGGGGATCGCAGCAGGACAGACGTGAGGGCATGTGGAACAAAACTCCAAGTCAGACAAAGAGCAGGCAGACTGTCTATCAGAGACTGGCGGGATCACGGAAACCAGTCATCCTGCAACCTGCCGTTGACTGAACTCACCCTACCCCAGTCCCACCTGCAGCTCCATTTCCAGTCAAATAACAGACAGGCCTATGGGGGCGCAACACTCCTTAGAAAGGGCAGCCATCTGAGAGCAAAAGGACAGTGCTTAATTACCCCAGGACAGAACTCGAATGGCAAGGAGGGTGGTGGAGTGGGACCGGGAAGCACAGGGGAAGTGGGATGAGAGATGAGACGCGGCAGATGGCAATGGAGGAGATGAAACAAGGTGTATATGAAATGCTGGGGAAAACGGATTATCTGCTCTGCAAACCTT